ATCTGCAAAGTATGGGATAGGTTTCTGGAAGCCCGGCTCGGGCATAATTCACCAGGTAATTAGACCATATTAAGTTTCTCTCCTTACATTGTTTACATAAATTTTATCTAATATCCATATATCTCAAGTATTTGTGTCGGTATATCTCAAATTTTCTATTGTATTTTTGAATTCATATACTCAGGTAATTTTACAGACATCTTATTGGTCCTCTATTTTCCGTGAATCTGCGAAGTACAAAGACTCAGAATGATCTCAGCCAAAGAGAAGAGCTAATTCGCTTTCGTCTTCCACTTTTTATTTTTACATTTTTGCCCTAATGCGTTGGTCAGAATGCTATCCCTCCGCTAATCTCTTTCGTGGCGTAAAAGTTCTGTTCGTTTTCCCTAGATTTTAAGGCTTCGAGGGCTGCTTGTTCTTGGATTATTAGGTAAGCTAAATTAGCAGGCCAATAAAGAGCAGTTTCCTCTTCGGGTGAAATTTTCTCGGGTACGATCGTTGGGTTAAAGCTTTTTAGCTTTTGAGTTACGAGCACTAAATGATTTCATTCTGCAACTAGCATCCTTCAATGTCTTTACACTTGTATCATTTTCAATGTATACCTTTATAATGCATAGTTTTTTAGCGATTATTATATTACCTTATCTTATTTTTTTAATGTTATAGTCTTAACTGAGCTTTAACGATGTAAGATGTTATTTCACCATATTTCGCCACTTGTTTTCGATATACTTGCTAACAGTTTATGGATTTTTCTTTGGTGATCACTTTCCATAATATTCACGATTAATGGTCCAAATATATGATGCTTTATTAGAGGCGTGGCTGCATTTGTTAAAATGAGTCATTACTTTACACCCATGTCCATTCTCTCAGTTCACTATATATGAGTATTGTAGGTAATGTTTTATTACAATATTTAATATGAAATTGCTTCAATTTTCGGTACTGTATATTGTTTTTTTAACCAAACTTTCCATGCATATCTAACTAATTCCACTTTTTATCTAGATTGTACTTGAAAACTACGCTTTCCCCGGAATCCTCTTGATCGGCACTGATAGTCACACGCCAAATGGCGGTGGTCTGGGCGGACTTTGTGTAGGTGTAGGTGGCGCCGATGCTGTCGATGTAATGGCGGATTTGCCATGGGAACTGAAAGCTCCTCGCATAATCGGAGTCCATTTGACGGGTAAACTGAGTGGCTGGACCAGCGCCAAAGACATTATTCTTAAGGTATGTTATCTATTGTATATTTATGGTTCGTTCTGATGCATAAAACAAATCGCAATAACTTATGCTGTAGCGAAAGGCCTCAGATACCGAATGTTTAGTGTATTTTACATTTATCTATGCCTTCTGCCAACCTGTTTAAGACTGAGCTAAAATCCAAACATCCTTCTTAAATAATGTTATCATGGGGCAGAAATTCTCCATGCTAGGCTCAATTATGCCTCTTATTCTTCCTTAAATTTATTTACATATATTCTTTCTCTTACCTTGTGCCAGCTTAAAATGAAATATTCACTCAACAGCTGCCTTTATTTTACCTAATTTGTCTTATTTGATTTTATTTATAATAATCTTATTTTAACGTATTTTAACATAATGAATTCATCTCAGCTCTAATTATCCTCGTGAAAAGATTAACATTAAATGTGAAAGCATCTTGGCTTAAAACTTAACAAAGAGAAATAATGTGTGGTATTTTTGGCCCATCTCTCTATATACTCCTATTGTTCTTTTCAATATCAGACATCAGAAAACGGAGTATTAGTTTAATAGAAATTTTGTCCTGCGCAAAAGTAAATTATTAAAAAAACAAAGACTAGAATTGTTCGCTTTATTGCAACCTCAAGATGTACGTTTGAGTCAAAAGCAAACAAGTCATTAATGTTGGAGCACCTTTCATTTCGCTTGAGGAAGCTAGTGTAAGGGATTCATAAGTTGGTTCCACCGGAGGCTGTGGGGGATTGCCTTGAAACTGTGATTGTAGGTTTGTGCGAATAGCTCCTCAGCGCACCACCTTGCAACCCCGATGCATTCTTGCTGAGCTTTCGTCCGTCATGTAGCGGACATCGTCAGAGCAGGAAATCATGGTTAACAATAGTTCACCAATAACACGAAGGCAAGAAAGGTGGTCAGCTTCAAGCCTACTTCCTTCTTATATTCCAATTTGATCCACTTATGCATTTCATCTTTTTGTTGACTGTCCTTTGCTTTGCCTCTATAGTTGCTCATAAGTTAAATTAAGTGGCTGCGGATGACGTGAAGTGGCTACAGATGAAGCATGAAATCGGAGCAATTGAAGCCGAACAGCTGCATCCTTCCCTAAAACACTTATGCCTTTAATCTTGTAATGTTATCGCATGTGATTGCGTCTCATTGCACACAGGTTGGGCGAGTGCATTGCTCTTGAAATGAGTGCGATGTGCGAGTCAGAACCAAATTCTAGTCTAATCAAGCCTCTTCCTTTTGCTCAGCAGTACTTCTCGTTCCCCTCTCTCTTTCTCTAAATCTGTTTAACAGCCACAAGTGGTTTCCGCTTAACTTCATACACTCATACCTTTTATTCAGGGTGTTGGTCGTTTTATGTAGGAAGTTAAGTGGAAACTACTTGTGTCTGTTGGATAGGTTTAGATAAAGGAGGGGAACGAGAAGTATCACTGAGCAGGAGGAGGCTTGATTAGGCTGGAATTTGGTTTTGACTCTCACATCACACTCATTTCAAGATCACTGCACTCACACATCATGTGTGCAATGGGACGCAATCACATACACAAACCTACAATCACAGCTCCAAGGCAAACCCCACCGCATCCGGTGGAACCTACTTACGAATCCCTTCCATTCGCCTCTTCAAAACGAAATGAAAGGTACTCTAACATCAATCTATCGGGATTCTTTGAAACCCAGTTATTCTACAAGTCATTTATGGTTTCTGTGAGCAGTTATTATAAACGCCAACTTCTTTTGGGCTTTATGGATAATCTCAAATAGTAACTTCTTTTTTTATACATTCTGGCATGAGCTTCTTTATCTAAAACAACCATAACTCAATTAATCTTCCTTCTGCATCCGGAAAAATAGTGAGAAATGTACTGAGAGACAGGCTGGTTGGCATTCCTGACCGTGTCTGATCTACAAAGTTCAGTTTTTTTTTAGAAAGCTCAGTTTTTACATCATTTGAGTATTCACTAAAATTCTGTTAAAGGTTTATTTTGCAAAATACACTGAAACAAGCTTGTGGAATACGTGCTTACTGTGGCGAACTAGAGTAGTATGTATGTATGGGTATGTTTGAAAATACTTTCGCTTTTAAGGTTTCCGAGGATATTCGTAGATCCTGAATAAGGAATGTATTTATCTTATTTCATCTGAAGGACTGGCGGCTTAATCGTTCATTCTAGGAATATGCGATTTAAAAAATCTATTTACAGTTTGCTGTTTAATCATATATTCGCTTAACACAACAAAGCTGTTTAAGGTGGGCACTTGGTAATTTATTTTTTGATTTGAATATTCTACTAATTAATACGAAACTTCAGTTATAATATAATATATTTATCGTGGGATCTATAATACTTAACCCCTTATAAATTTTTGGAGGCTAAATTAACTTATTC